AGAGAGAGAGAGAGAGAGTACTAGGAATAGAGTGATGGACTACAACAGCCCCACGTTGCAGGTTGCTATCACTTCCCAAGTTGTCACCTTTTATTGGCCCATCGAAAATGACTGCTGAATTGTAGCTTTCGGCTTGCTTTGTATGTCCCCCTCCCCTTAACTTTGCTGCCATCTATCTGTTAAGCTTCCCGCTAAACTTTAAAGAAGACGCAGATTGATGTTTAATTAAATCTTATGTAATTTGATTTCCTCATCCTAACACATTATTTATGGCTGGTGAGAGAGGAGGGGGGGAGGGGGATTTGGTCTGACCGACAATGACCGATAACCGCAACACACGCCTCTCTCTCTCTCTCTCTCATTCATTACCGGACACAGCTGCCGCCTGACCGCCGCTCCTTCTGAGACCGTTCGGTAGATGGATAGAACGAAAGAGTCGTGCTTTCGCTCCTCCTTTTGTGGCAGTCGATGCCGGCTGCCATCTTCTTTTGGACGTCCCGCCCATTAATTAACACTGCTGTGGCGATGCTTAGACTCGCCCCGTCGTCACCTCCAAGAGAGCACCCATCCTTTGGGGTTGCTTCAGATTTGGCTGTCCAGGGTTCGTTGTCGAGCCCCGGTTGGCGGATTCGAGGTGACAAGACCTGTGAATGCTACACGAGCAGGGAGAAGATGGGCAAAAGTGTTGCTGATGTATCTATCATACAATTAGGATCTATATCTATTCTCGCATCACTACTTTACAGTGAGCAAAGGTAAGGAGGAGAGTAATGAGAACGCCAAAAGATTAAAGCATTTAAAAGTGTGAGAGAAGGCATACCAGACCGCAGGGAGAAACAACCATTGAAAGATGTTTGCTCTGGCTTTTATGTCGTGTGTAGGTTTTGCAACACATGCATGAACAAAGAGCAGGAGCGAAGTTAAATGACATGAACACATAAATTACTGCAGCACCAAATAACTGACAATTCTTCGTGATTTTTACAATCTATTAATAGCAGATACAAAATTGCATTTCGATGAACTTTCTACCCGATTCAAGTTTTCATAGAATCGGTAAAAATATTAGGAAGAATGCTCATTTTTTTCTTATTATTAAAAGCAGCAGTATAGTTTACCATTTCCCTGTTTACACTATGTATGGAATTTTGGTTGCTCGAAAATGGGAAGTATAACCCACCAAGAAGAAAAGAGAGAGAGAGAGAGAGAAAGAAAAAGGAAAATAAAAGGTATTTAAAAGGAAAAAAAAATAAAAGAGAAGAGACTGTTTGCTTTCTGAACAACTAGTCAATCTATTGTCGGATCAACATGGACTTGACCAAAGATATCAGGACATCCATCCCACTTGCCATCTTCCCTGGCTTCCCAGTAACCACCTAAGTACCGGTATGTGTCGCTTTCTTTGTCTTTTGCAAACCACTGAGGTTTCCAACCGCTTTCCTGCATCTTTCTTGCCTGCATCACATAGTTATGGTTCCATCAAAGAAAGCTTATAAGAGAGTGAGTTCAATATACCACTTTAAAAGTTGTGAGCACTGAAGGCATCCAAACATGAGGACATGAACTGGTCCTTATTTTCAAGGTTAGCAAAGACAATTGCAATTCAACGGAACATCCCAGAGATGCCCTTTTTGCGGAAAATGGCTTCTGAAAGTTTCAGGGCCGAACTAAATTGAGTGTTAGTATAGGGCAGATTTGTGAAGGAAATCATCAAGCAATCAATGCAAGAACCCTTATACCGAAGAATCCCTAAGACTTCAAATATCGCACCAAGCAATTAGTTTCTAAGAAAAAAAAACAATTGAGCAGATTTGTGAAGGAAACCATCAAGCAATCAATGCAAGAACCCTCATACCAAAGAATCCCTAAGACTTAAAATATTGCACCAAGCAATTAGTTTCTAATTAAAAAAAAAGCAATTGAGCAGATTTTCACAAACAAGGTCTGGCAACCAATGACTTCCCAAAAGCAATCATTCCAACGTATACTGCAAACACAGAGAGAGCAGTCTAGTGCCCAAAAAGGATCCAACCAGTGTGGGGTATGTCGATGGTTAATGTATTAAAGCTTGCCCTAGTAAGCAAAGAGGTTGTTTATGTGACAAAGTCATTTTAGTTGCAAAAGAGGAACCTTGCCATGGAACTGAGGCTTCGTACTATTTTAGTTGCAAAGGTATTTCATGGTTGAATTGATCTATTAAAGATTCAGCAAAAGAGAAAAGAAGAAAAAAGAAGATATTCCAAGCTTAACCTGACGTTGTCGCTGTTCCAGTCTCAACTTCTCAGCATTTGCCATTTCATATTCCCCGTTTTCCAAGCACCTCTGATCTGGCCTTAGCCTTGAATCAGTCGATGGAAGTTTTTCCTGCCACACAATTGAGACAAAATACATAAATAAAAAAAAAAGGTTTTAACCAGTAAAACAATATTCTCACCTTTAATCCAGGGGTGAGTTCATTCATTGTTATTGCAAAGCGTGTCAGATTGTATCTGGTGGGACACTTAGGTGGTTTGCTACGTTTCCAGAGTAAATGTGCTTCCGACAATAGTTCAGATCCTTTGCCTTTTCCAGAGCAATCTCCGTACACATAGTGCATACTCTCATCCCATTTTCCAATGAGTGTTGCTACAGTTTTCCCATTGCGATCCTGAACTATACCTTGCACCTACAATTAGTTTACATTTAGCAATTACTATGTCACTAAACGAAAAGCAAATGATGGCAATAGAAAATAAGAATCTATGAATCCACTAGAATGAGTGCAACCATAATACTAGGCATCCCCCAATAAACCTATGAACCACTGACTTTCATAAGCTACAAATCCATGTCTGGCACTTGTCTGACACTAAAATGTGTATGACACATGCAAAACATGTAATAGACAGCCAATTAATGTCATACTCCTAAAACTTTGTTGTAGTTGGACAGCTCAGACACTGAATTGACAAGGTTCAATGGTTGGCACAATCATTTCATGCTCCAATCTATTTCACATGCATATAATTTGTTTTTTGAAGAATATGTATATACAAGTTCATACTAATTCCATATAATTGAATAATTACTACTTCTTAATATGTTTTATGATTTAGTGTGTAGAATCCTTATCAA